AGCAAGGGAAATTCAGCGAGGATGCCATCAACGCTGTTCGACGTAATTTCTATATGGATGACCTCCTAGCATCGAAGCAAAACTGCGATGAAGCCACAGGTCTGGCTAAAGATTTGATAGGAATCCTAGCAACTGGCGGGTTTCGCCTAACGAAGTGGATGTCAAACAGCCGAGAAGTGCTCACAGCAATCCCTTCGTCAGAAGTGGCGTGCGACATTATTCACTTAGATCGTAATGGATTGCCTCAAGAAAGAGCCTTAGGCGTCAAGTGGTGTGCAGAGCAAGATCTGCTGAGTCTTGAACAAGCGAAGAGTAAATTCCCAAACACCAAGCGAGGAATATTGAGTGCCACGAGTAGCGTGTTTGATCCCCTAGGCCTTGCCGCGCCCTACGTAATAAAGGCGAAAGTGATCATCCAAGAGTTGTGGAGACGTCAGATTGAGTGGGATAGCGAGCTGCCCAATGATATCCTCCAGAAGAGGCAAGGTTCAAAAGAAGGTTTGAAATCCAACGATCATGATTCCCCGGTGGTATGGCTTCCACCGCGACCGATGCCTAAAGGTACAACTACACGTGTTCTGCGACGCGTCAAAAATCGCTTAGAGAGCAGTTGCGTATTTCCGTTTGGTGACTCGTGGAGATGTTAATGTGAGCTTTGTTTTAAGTAAGACTAGGCTTGCACCAATCAAAGCCTTGACCATTCCGCGTCTGGAGTTACAGGCTGCCGTTGTAGCCACTAGCCTGAGGTCTAAGATAGTGGAAGAAATCGACATTGAAATCGATCAAACGCATTTCTGGAGTGACTCCAGGATAGTGCTTCACTACCTTAGCAACACCCAGCGGAGATTTAGCACGTACGTGTCTCACAGAGTTGCTGAAATCGTCTCGAACTCGGACGTTAACGACTGGCATCACATTCCTGGCAAAATGAATGTGGCCGATGACTGCACGAGAGGGAAGGATATTCAGCAGTTGACTCCGAAATGTAGATGGATCAGTGGTCCAGAATTTCTAATGTTGCCTGAAGCAGAATGGCCGAGTACTAAAGAGGTACCAATTGTGGATGAAACCGAGCTCGAATTTAAGGGCTCAGTCCTTGCTGTGTCCACTACTTCATCTACAAACATGGTGCAATGGAAGAAGTACTCCTCTTGGAGAAAGCTAAGTCGGCAGTACGCTTGGTGGATGAGATACAAATTCATTCTGAGGTGTAAAATAAAGAAGATGAATGCCGG